GACTCTCAAAAATGCTGATGCCTCCCATTTCAGAACATGCCTTGTCTTCACAATTCGGAGGGTTCTCTGGGCTCTCACAGGGAATATTGTCATCCAGTGAGTTCTCAAGTTTAGTAGGAAAGTCCACTCTAGCATTCCCGCCTCTCATAAGCCTTTTAAGCCTTCCTCTATGACTCTGTACCGGCAGTTCCGACAGCTCCATATCATTCATGTGACCAAGGTTTCCTCCATGTTTCCAGGCAGCCATCCCAGGAGTGTCAAGGGACCAAGACCAGGAGACCTGTCAGGGCACTACATTAGGAAAGTACCCCTATAGAATTAAACTCTGCCTCTTCAGGCTTGCATTCCACAACCCACCATTGAGCACTCACCAAATCTACTTCTAGGCATGTGCTCCGTGTCAGCCAGGACGTGCGAACTCCTTGAGTGGATGATCTTTTTTATCTCTCAGCAGGGCTGTAATCTTCCCCAATGGCCCATGATAAGACTGATGCAAATTATCCGTCTAATACCCAGAAGGAAGAGGGAATGAATTCTGCTGCAGGGCAAGGGTCAGAACCTTCAGATGCTGGCATTATGGCAGGGATGCTTGAAATGGTTGAAAACTTGTGATATGACTCATAGGTTGGCATATCTATGGCAATTGCTTTTTTACCTATTCTCATGCAGACCAATAGTGCCATGATTTGGTAGGTAGAGGAAAATATCAGTTTGTCCAAAAGATAGCAGATCTGATACACGTTAGATGTCTTATTGAAGTGCAAAGTTGTTATTCCAACATTTCTCCCGAGCCGTGAATAAGCACCATTTCAGCCATGATCTATAGACAATAATTGGATAAATGCTTGAGTGCAGCTAGTCTTCCCATTTATGTTCCTAAAAGTATCCCTTAGAGATTGGCCCTTGAGGAACTTATCTGTCTTAGGAAGCAGAGGAATGGGCCTCCACCAGCCCCTAGAAGAGCTGAAAGAACTTTGCTGTCAGCCAGGGTGCTTGCCTGACACAGCTGGGAGATTGTGCTTAGGTAACTCATGGGGGAGGGGTGGAGAACAAGGTGCAGCTGCTGCCAGGGGAGTGTGAAATTAGGGGGAGATCAGGAGTTAAACTGTGTTTCTCTTTGTACAGAATATAGTAAATTCGGTGGTAGGAAATGAGAGGGGGCAGCTCTACCTTATGTACCACAACTAGCCACAAGGCAGATTTCAGTGTGGTGTAGGGCAGGTCTGAACCACTGCGCCTATCCCCAGGTGACAGTACTAGACCCCAGAATCATTTTCAATTTGATTTTTCAGTATCAATTTTGAGCTGCTTCTTGTGCTTGCATAAGTATCATCCTTTCCTGGACTGATTCCTGATTCCACCACAACCTTGGATGTGGAGGGGTCATGGTATAGCAGAAGACGTGTGGAAACTTCTGCTCCTGGTGGAGGTACCAGTGGATGTAGTAGACAGTACTTTGTTTAGGAAGATCCCAAGTGATTACAGCAGAGGACCCACTCGGCATGGTGACTGACTTCTCGCTTCTAAGTTGGAACATTTCTGACTGGCTGCAATGGCAAAAACACAAAATATAATGAGGCATTTCTTAGTATGGCACCCCTCGCAAAAGAAGAAAATAAGCAAAACAAAACAAAATAGAACCCGTGAGCCTCTCCGTAGGCAGCACACTCACCTGGAGGCAGGAAAGCTAGAAGCAGAGCTAGGGCCCACCCCATGCCTTCCTCTCCGGGGCCTTGGAAGGAAAGGGACCAGATGAAGAGGAGCACAAGACCCTCTCAAAACTCTGGTCCTACTCAACAAGGAAGTGATCCCTAGCACAGTGCGGGGAGCAGGTCTTCCTGAGTCACAAGCAGAGGGAAGTGACTGAGGATCTGTCTTAGGGGACTCCCAAGCCTTCCTCCCAGAAGGGGTGGTGCCTGGGAGGACCTGCAGAGGAGCTCCTGCCTCTCTGCTCAGGCCCGTTCTCCAGCGCCCTCCTGTGGCAGCTGAGAGCAGGTTCTCTGCAGAAGAGAGCCAGGGGCAAGGAGAGCTCAGGCCTGCAGCGGAGGGAGTCCAGACCTGGGGGAAGCTGAGCCTGGAGTTAACAGGCCCAGACCTTGGAGGGGGCAGTGCACTGCAGGCTCACACCCTGCCCTTCAGAGTTTCATCAGGTAAGGCCACTGCCAGGGCCTCATTCTGCAGGAAGATTCTGTTTAGGGCCCTGAACCACCTTCCTTTTCACATCTACAAGGACACTGGATCAACACCCAGGGGCACTCTGGGAAGGCCTGAACCTGCTTTATTAAAGGGACGGAGGGTCAGGCAGATTGATGGGTCTTGGACTTCCCTCTAAGGTAAATGGGTTTGTGGGGGTGGGGTGGGTGTTTGTGTCATCTGTGGGAGTTTGTGTGGGGTGGGGACTGTGCACAGGTGTGTGATCACCTTATTAGAGAACTTCTGTTCATTGAAGTAAAAGTGTGAGTTTTTTAAAGTAGTACAGGGTGCCATGTTGTGCAATATTTGGGACATACTTAAACTGAAAACTTACCACCTGAACTTCCAAATTTCCTGGGTATTGCATATTTATTTAGCCACCGCACTCTCAGAAAGCTGACTGATATCTGCAGTGGACCTGGATTCTTAGATGGAGTTACAGACGATAAAACAAATTCAGTAAAATCATTGTGAAAATTCAGTAGTGCACACAGATTTTCACCTCCTCTGTAACATGTTTAGATACATGCTTAAAATATGCAGAATAAGATGCAGAGCTACGTTCTTCTTGGTTGTTGTGTTGGCCTAGCTCAGAGAATTCAGTTTCTGCTGTCATCACAGCTGGGAATGAGAAAGGCACGCGGCTCCAGGTGGTCTCCATCTGCCTATGGGCCACACGTGCAGAAGATTAGGCTGCCGCAGGAGCAGCTCAAAGCTGAGTTCTCAGAGACCTTGTAGAGGAGGGAAACTCGCCTGCCTTGGAGCCTGAATATCCTGGGTAGGGCAGAACTTCCGTGGTTTAAAAATGAGAAGGGAGAATTGCCATCACATTAGAAGGCATAGAAAATCCTTAAAACAAAAAAAGTAATAAGAAAACAAACTCCACTGGAAGGTAAAATGAACCACAAAGCTACCATGCAGAAGAGAGGCCAATACTGGCACCAGAATGAAAATATTCATGGAACACAGTGGAAAGTCCAGAAAGAGAGCCACAGGAATGCAATATTTTATCATGTCATAAAGTTGTATGCTAATATCCACAAAGAAATACTTGATTATTTAATATGTCTCCTTTGGGAATTGACTTACTATATGGAAACACATATTCTTGGGTTGCTAACTTTAAAGTTACAAACAGATTTAGTTGTAATAAAACTGAAAGCAGGAAATCATTAGACTTAAATGATGATGAATCGCACACTAATTATAGGTGACATTGGTCTCCCTGAGCCTGACATCATAATAGAGACCCTAGAAAAATTGACAGATTTTATTAAAATTAATTTACAAAGTTCAGTTCACCAAAAGGTGCCGCAAATAAATAATAGTAAATGAGGAAAAATATTTTCAACATGGTTGATAAAGGATCGCTATCTCTAAAATGGTGTATATTAATTCTTACCAATAAATAAGAAAAACTGAATACCTTAACAGAATAGGCAAAGAGTATGAAAAGGCAATTCACAAAAGAAGAAGTATAAATGGCTTACAAAGTTGTAAAATAATGCCAGTATTCATAAAGATCAGAAGATGCAAATTGAACAAATCTCATTTGCCAAACCCCAGGGCTTCGATTGAAATTGCTATCAATTAAAGTATATGACTTAGGGAATGTTAGGTAACCCCTCAATTTTTCATCTACTATATTCAAGGGTCCTTAACCTGTCAATAAGTTTTCTGTGAAGACTCAATAAAATATACATGTAATGTGCTTAGTAACTACCTTAAAGTCAGTACCCATATTTACCATCAGTATTGTTATTATTATTACAGTAATTATCGTATAAAACTTCCTGATAGATCATGATATCAATATCAAGTAAACATAAAATATTAATGAAATGATATGAATTTCTTTATGCATATTTCTAAAGTATGTTCACCTTCCTATGTAAGACACAAAATCCAGACACCAGAAAATCAAAGATTGATTAAAATGTATAAAAACCAATTATCAGAGCAAAAAAATATGACATTCAAATAGAAACAATACATACTGCACATATGACAAACAGAATAATGTATTTCTGTAATAGTGATAGACTTCTGAGTGAAGAAGAAACAGTGAAAAAGTTCACCTGAACTGATAAAGATACTGTTACCTATAGGGTGTGAGAGAAAAAAAGAGAATTCTAGAATGAAAGCTAAAATCTCTAAATCTATCTTGTTTTATAATTTTGACTTCAGTTTCATGTCAGTGTTCTACGTATACAAATCACAACAACACAACACATTTCCAAAATATAAAAATGAAAACTGAACAAATTAACCAAGGGTATCAATGTTGCCGTGAACGTATAGAGAATTATTCCAGATGATTTTGTTTAAAAAGTATTCTTATTGTGTTCCCAAAAAAGAGGAGAAAAAAGGAAGGAAAGGAGGAAGTGAGGAAGGGAGGAAAGGAGGGAGGAAGGGAGGAAGCAAGCTAGGGAGGGAGCTAGGGAGGGCAGGAGAAGAGAGGTGTAGAAAAATAGTATGTAACCAAGAAAGGAGAGAGGGAGAAAAAAGGACAGAAGAGAGGGAGAAGGTTCAACTGCATATCTAGCCCTAGTGATTTAGTGGCAATCATAGTATTGCTTATACTGATATAGACATAAGAGGTGAGCACCACTCTAACCTGCCATATCTGGACCAGGGTTGGATACATGATTTAGTATAAATATCCTTCCCATTTGCTGTGCAAAATATCTGGTTTCACAGCTGGACCCTAGGAGTCCCTGTATAGGAAGCAGACTGAGCGGGCCTCCCCCGTGTCCTAGGAGAGCTGAGAGAACCTTGCTGTCAGGCAGGCTGCTTAGCTGAGGCCTGGAGGTGGCAGCTTGGTCTTCAGGAGAGCCCTGGGGGAGGGGTGGGGAACAGGTGCAGCTGCTGCCAGGGGAGTGTGATATTAGGCGGAGATCGGGAGTGAAGCTGTGTTTCTCCTTGTACAGAATACAGTAAATTCGGTGGCAGGAAATGAGAGGGGGCAGCTCTGTCTTGTGTAGCAGAAGCAGCCACAAGGCAGGTTTTCAGTGTGGTGTAGGGCAGGTCTGAACCACTGTGCCAGTCCCAGGCGGCACAGTAATAGACCCCAGAATCATTTTCCATTAGATTTGGCAGTACCAATTTCCAGCTCCCCTTCTGGATTAGATAATTATCCTTCTTTCCTGGACTGATTCCTGAATCCAACACAATCTTGGACTGCTGGGTGTCATAGTACAGAAGACGCTGTGGGGCCTTGCCTTCCTGGTGGAAGTACCAGTGGATGTATCTGGCATTTTCTACAGGAAGATCACAAGTGATTACAGCAGATGACCCAGTCCGCCCGGTGACTAGCTTCGTTCTCCCTTCTAAGTTGGAAGATACCTGACTGACTGCAATGAAACGACACAAAATACGATGAGGCATTCCTTAGTATGGCACCAGTTACAAAAGAAGAAAACAAAACCTGTGAGCCTCTCCGTAGGCAGCACACTCACCAGGAGGCAGGAAAGCTAGAAGCAGGGCTAGGGCCCACCCCATGCCTTCCTCTCTGGGGCCTTGGAAGGAAAGGGACCAGATGAAGAGGAGCACAACACCCTCTGAAAACTCAGGTCCCACTCAACAAGGAAGTGATCCCTAGCACAGAAGGCAGTGGGGGGAGCTGGTCTTCCTGAGTCACAGGCAGAAAGAAACTACTGATGATCTGTCTTAGGGGACTCCCAAGCCTTCCTCCCAGGAGGGGTGGTGCCTGGGAGGACCTGCAGAGGAGCTCCTGCTTCTCTGCTCAGGCCCGTTCTCCAGCGCCCTCCTGTGGCAGCTGAGAGTAGGTTCTCTGCAGAAGAGAGCCAGGGGCAAGGAGAGCTCAGGCCTGCAGTGGAGGGAGTGCAGACCTGGGGGAAGCCAGTTCTGGAGTTAACAGACCCAGCCCTTGGACAGGGCAGTGCACAGCAGGCTCACACCATTCCCTTCAGAGTTTCAGCAGCTAATGCTGATGTCAGGACCTTGGCCTGCCAGGAAGCCTCTGATAATGGCCCTGAACCACCTTCCTTTTTACATCCGCAAGGGCAGTGTAGGCAACACCCAGGGATACTCTGAGTAGGCCTGAACCTCCTTTATTAACAGGACTGAAAGTGAGTTATTTTGGCGGGTCTCAGACTTCCCTGTAAGATAAATGGCTGTGTGGGGATGGGGCGGGTGTTTGTGTCATCCTGTGTGAGTTTGTGTGTTGGGGCGGTGCCCATGTATGGGATCTCTTTATTAGAGGATTTCTTTTCATTGCAGTAGAATTGAGATTTTTTTTTTTCTAAGTAGTACACAGTGCCATGTCATGCAATATTTGGGACATACTTAAACTGAAAACTTGTTATTTATCAGAACTTCCAAATTTCCTGGGTATTGTATATTTTATTTAGCAACCATACCCTCAAAGTGAACTGAAATCTGCAGTGGACCTGGATTCATACATGGAGATACGGATGATAAAACAAGTCCAGTAAAATAATTGCTAGAATCCAATAGTACATACACAGATTTTCACCTCTCCTATAACAAATACATTTAGAAACATTTTTAAAACATGCATAATAAGATGTAGAACAATGTCCCTCTCGGTTGTTGTGTTGGCCTAGCTCAGAGAATTCCGTTTCTGCTGTCATCACCATTGGGAATGAGAAACGCTGGGGGCTCCGGGTGGTCTCCCTCTGCCTCTGGACCACACGTGCAGGACTCGAGTCTGCCGCAGGAGCAGCTCTGAAAGCTGAGTCCTCAGGGTCCTTGTGAAGGGGGGAAGCTCACCTGCCTTGGAGCCTGGAAAATCCTGCCTGTGAGAGAATTCTGATGATTTAAAAATGAGAAGGGAGAGAACTGCCATCACATTAGAAGGCATAGAAAATCCTTAAAACAAAAAAGTAATAAGAGAAGCAAACTCCACTAGATATAAAATGAACTCTAAAGCTACCGTGCTGAGGAGAGGCCAATACTGGCACTAGGATGAAAAGATTCATGGAACTCAGTGGAAAGTCCAGAAACAGAGTCACAGGAATGTAATATTTTATCGTGTCCTAAAATTGTATGTTAATATCCACAAGGAAATACTTGATTATTTAATACAGTCTCCTTTGGTAATTGACTTACCATATGGAAACACATATTCTTGGGCTGCTAACTTAAAAGGTACAATAGAGATTTAGTTGTAATGAAACTGAAAATAGGAAATCATGAGACTTAAACGATGATGAATTGCAGACCAATTATAGGTGACATTGTTCTCTCTGAGCCTGATGTCATAATAGAGACCCTAGAAAAATTGACAGATTTTATTAAAAGCAATATACAAAGTTCAGTTCACCAAATGGTGCCAAAAATAAATAACAGCAAATGATGAGAAGTATTTTCGACATGTTTGATAGAAACGATCAATGTCTCTAAAATGGTGAATATTAATTCTCACAAACAAGAAAAATTTAGTCCCTCAACAGAAGCATAGGCAAAGAGTATTAAAAGGCAATTCACAAAAAATGTATAAATAGCCTATAAAGCTGTAAAGTAATGCTAGTATTCATAAAAATAAGAAAACGCAAACTGAATGTGCAAATCTCATTTTCTGAACCCCAGAGCTTGGACTGAAGTCACTATCAAATTAAAGTATATGACTTAGGGAAAGTTAGTTAACCCCTCAATTTCTCATCAGCTATATTCAATGATAATTAACCCGTCAATAAGGTTTCTGTGAAGATTCAATAAAATATACATGTAACGTGCTCAGTACAGTAACTCACAGAAAGTCAGTACCCATATTTCCATCAGTGTTATTGTTATTACAGTAACTATTGTATAAAAATTCCAGATAGATCATATCAATATCAAGTAATTAATGAAAAAAATTAACAAAATGATATGAATTTCTTTGTGCATACTTCTGAAGTATGTTCACCTGTCCAAGTAAGACACAAAATCCAGACACCAGAAAATGAAACATGGATTAAAATGTATAAAAACCGATTATCACAGCAAAAAAATATGACATTCAAATAGAAACAATGCATACTGTATATATGACAAACAAAAGATGTATTTCTGAAATAGTGATAGACTTCTCAATAAACAAGAAAAAGTGAAAAAGTTCACCTGAACTGAAAAAGATGTTACCTATAGGGTGAGAGAGAGAAGAGGAAAGAGAATTCTAGAATGGAAGCAAAATCTCTAAATCTATCTTGTTTTATAATTTTTGGCTTCAGTTTTATGTAAATGTTCTACATATGCAAATCAAAACAATACAACAAATTTTCAAAATATAAAAAGGAAAATGAGCAGATAAACCAGGTGTATCACACTTGCTGTGAACATGTAGACAATTATTCCAGATGATTTTGTTGAAAAGGTGTTCTGATTGTGTGCCCAAAAATGAAAGAGGGAGAAAAGGAAAGAAGAAAGGAAGGAAGGAAGGAAGGAAGGAAGGAAGGAAGGCAGGCAGGCAGGCAGGTCAGAGCCAGGGAGGGAGGGAGGGGATGGGAAGAGAATGGAGGGAGGGAAGCGGGAAGCAAGCTAGGGAGACAGGTAGGGAGGGAGAGAAGTAGGTAGGGAGGGAGACAGGGAGGGCGGGGAGGGGAGGGGCACGGAGGTGTGGAAAAATAGTAAATAACCAAGAAAGTAGAAAGAGAGAAAAAAAAAGGAGGGCAGAGGGAGAGGATGTTCAACTGCATATATAGGCCCGGTAATTATAGTACACCTTATATTGTTATAGGCACAAGAGAAGGGCGCCATTTAAGCCACGATCTCTAATACGTGATGGATACATAATTCAGTATAAATATTCTTCCCATTTGCTGTCCAAAATATCTGGTTTTATAGCTGGACCCTAGGAAGCAGAGTGAATGGGCCTCCCCCATGTCCTAGGAGAGCTGAGAGAACCTTGCTCTCAGGCAGGCTGCTTAGCTGAGGCCTGGAGATGGCAGCTTGGTCTTCAGGAAAGTCCTGGGGGAGGGGTGGGGAACAGGTGCAGCTGCGCCAGGGGAGTGTGATATTAGGGAGAAGTTAAGCTGTGTTTCTCTTTGTTCAGAATACAGTAAATTCGCTTACAAGAAATGAGAGGGGGCAGCTCTGTCTTGTGTAGCAGAAGCAGCCACAAGGCAGATTTCAGGGTGGTGTAGGGCAGGTCTGAACCACTGTGCCTGTCCCAGGTGGCACAATAATACACCCCAGAATCATTTTCAATTAGATTTCGCACTCTCAATTTCCAGCTCCTCCTCGTGGTGGCATAAGTATCATACTTCCCTGGACTGATTCCTGATTCCAACACAACCTTGGAGTTGGAGAGTTCATGGTACAGAAGACGCTGTGGGGCCTTCCCCTCCTGGTGGAGGTACCAGTGGATGTAGAAGGCACCTTCTCCAGGAAGATCACAGGTGATTACAGCAGATGACCCAGTCTGCCCAGTGACTGACTTCGTTCTCCCTTCCAAGTTTGAAAATATCTGACTGGCTGCAATGAAAACAACACAGAATATAATGGGCATTCCTTAGTATGGCACCCCTTGCAAAAGAAAACAAAACCTGTGAGCCTTTCTGTAGGCAGCACACTCACCAGGAGGCAGAAAAGCTAGAAGCAGGGCTAGGGCCCACCCCATGCCTTCCTCTCCTGGGCCTTGGAAGGAAAGGGACCAGATGAAGAGGAGCAGAAAACCCTCTCAAAACTCAGGTCCCACCCAACAAGGAAGTGATCCCTAGCACAGAAGGTAGGGGTGGGAGCAGGTCTTCCTGAGTCAGAGGCAGAGAGAAGTGACTGAGGACCTGTGTTAGGGGACTCCCAAGCCTTCCTCCCAGAAGGGGTGGTGCTGGGAGGACCTGCAGAAGAGCTCCTGCCTCTCTGATCAATCCTGTTCTCCAGCACCCTCCTGAGGCAGCTGAGAGCAGGTCCTCTGCAGAAGAGAGCCAGGGGCATGGAGAGCTCAGGCCTGCAGCAGAGGGAGTGCAGATGTGGGGGAAGCTGAGCCAGGAATTCACAGGCCCAGCCCTTGGAGGGGGCAGTGCAGGGCTTCTGATTAGGGCCCTGAAGCGCCTTCCTTTTCATATCTGCAAGGACACTGGAGGCAACACCCAGGGACACTCTGAGAAAACCTGAACCTGCTTTATTAACAGGACTGAGGGTCAGGTATGTTGGTGGGTTTGGACTCTCCTCCTGTATGTGATTCTGTGTGTGTGTGTGTGTGTGTGTGTGTGTGTGTGCACGCGCGCGCGTGTGTGATCTCTTTATTAGAGGATTTCTGTTCATTGAAATAGAAGTGTGAGTTTTGTTTTTTAAAAGTAGTACAGGGTGCTATGTCACCCAATATTTGGGACACACTTAAACTAAAAGCTTATTTATTTAAACTTTCAAATATTCTGGGTATTGCATATTTTATTTAGCAAACTTACCCTCACAAAGCAGACTGATACCTGCAGGAGACCTGGATTAACGGATGGCCAGATGGGTAATGAAACAAGTACAGTAAGATAACGGTGGAAATTCAGTAGTGCATATCCAGATTTCCCCTCTTCTATAACAAATATGTCTAAACTCATGTTTAAAACATGCAGAATAAGATGTAGAACAATGTCCGTCTCAGTTGTTGTGTTGACCTAGCTCAGAGAATTCAGTTTTTGATGTCATCACAGCTGGGAATGAGAAAGGGAGGCCCCTCCAGGTGATCTCCTCTGCCTCTGGACACACGTGCAGGAGATGAGGCTGCCGCAGGAGCCACTCTGAAAGCTGAGTTCTCAGGGTCCTTCTGAAGGAGGGAAGCTCACCTTCCCGATGCCGGGAGATCACCTGAGGTCAGGAGTTGCAGACCAGCCTGGCCAACATGGGGAAAACCCATCTCTACTAAAAATACAAACTTTAGCTGGGCGTGCTGGCATGTGCCTGTAATCCCAGCTGCTTGGGAGGCTGAGGCAGGAGAATCGCTTGAACCCAGGAGGTGGAGGTTGCAGTGAGCTGAGATTGCACCACTGCACTCCAGCCTGGGTGACAGAGTGAAACTCCATTTCAAAAATAGAAACAAAGAAAGAAAAAAAAAGAAATCTAGAATGGAATTTAAAATTTCAAAATGAATATTCTACATTATATTGATTTTAGTTCCATGTAAATATTTTACATATGCAAAACAAGTATAAAACAAAAAAACCCAACAAATTTCTAATTTTTAAAAATGAAAACTGAACAAATAAACTTAGCTATATGAATGTTGGCATGAGCATATGGAGATAAGTTATTTCAGTCGATTTTATTGAAAAAGTCTTCTGATTCTGTACCAAAAATGAAAGAGAGAGAAAAGAAAGGAAAGAAGAAAAAAAGGAAGAAGGAAGGAAGGAAGGAAGGGAAGGAGGGAGGGAGGGGAAGGAGGGAGGAAGGGAGGGAGAAGGCAGAAAATCATAAAAGCAAGCAAGTAAATAAGAAAGGAGTGAGAAAAAAAAGGGAGGGCAGAGGAAGAGAATTTTCCACTGCATATCTAGGCCAAGTGTTTTAGTGGTAAGTATAGTATTACTTATATTGTTATATACCTAAAAGAGGAGCACTGCTCTCAGCTGTGATCTCTGGATACACGATTCGGTATAAATACCCTTCCCATTTGCTGTCCAAAGTATCTCAATCACAGCGGGACCCTAGGCATACCTGTGTGTCCTAGGAAGCAGAGTGAGTGGACATTCCCTGTGTCCTAGGAGAGCTGAGAGAACCTTGCTCTCAGGCAGGCTGCTTAGCTGAGGCCTGGAGAGGGCAGCTTGGTCTTCAGGAAAGTCCTGGGGGAGGGGTGGGGAACAGGTGCAGCTGTGCCAGGGGAGTGTGATATTAGGGGGAGATCAGAAGTAAAGCTGTGTTTCTCTTTGTACAGAATACAGTAAATTCAGTGGCAGGAAATGAGAGGGGGCAGCTCTATCTTGTGTGCCAGAAGCAGCCACAAGGCAGGTTTTCAGTGTGGTGTAGGCAGGTCTGAACCACTGTGCCTGTCCCAGGTGGCACAGTAATAGACCCCAGAATCATTTTCAATTAGATTTTGCACTATCAATTTCAAGTTCCCCCTCATGACTGCATATGTATACTTCCCTGGACTGACTCCTGAATCCAACATAACCCTGTAGTTGTAGGTGTCACAATACAGAAGACTCTGCGGGGCCTCCCCCTCCTGGTGGAGGTACCAGTGGATGTATCTGGTACCTTCTGTAGGAAAATCACAAGTGATTACAGCAGATGACCCAGTCGGCTCAGTGACTAACTTCATTCCGGCACCCAAGTTGGAAGATGTCTGACTGGCTGCAATGGGAACCACACAAAACATAATGAGACATTCCTTAATATGGCACCCCTTGCAAAAGAAGAAAACAAAACCAAACCCGTGAGCCTCTCCGTAGGCAGCACACTCACCTGGAGGCAGGAAAGCTAGAAGCAGGGCTAGGGCCCACCCCATGCCTTCCTCTCTGGGGCCTTGGAAGGAAAGGGACCAGATGAAGAGGAGCACAAGACCCTCTCAAAACTCAGGTCCCACTCAACAAGGAAGTGATCCCTAGCACAGTGAGGGGAGTAGGTCTTCCTGAGTCACAGGCAGAAAGAAACTACTGATGATCTGTCTTAGGGGACTCCCAAGCCTTCCTCCCAGAAGGGGTGCTACCTGGGAGGACCTACAGAGGAGCTCCTGCCTCTCTGCTCAGGCCCGTTCTCCAGTGCCCTCCTGTGGCAGTTGAGAGCAGGTCCTCTGCAGAAGAGAGCCAGGGGCAAGGAGAGCTCAGGCCTGCAGTGGAGGGAGTGCAGATGTGGGGGAAGCTGAGCCTGGAGTTAACAGGCCCAGCCTTTGCAGGGGGCGGTGCACAGCAGGCTCACACCCTGCCCTTCAGAGTTTCATCAGGTAAGGCCACTGCCAGGGCCTCATTCTGCAGGAAGATCCTAATTAGGGCCCTGAACCGCCTTCCTTTTCACATCTGCAGGGACACTGGAGGCAACACCCAAGGCCACTCTGAGAAGGCCTGAACCTGCTTTATTAACAGGACTGAGGGTCAGGTATGTTGGTGGGTCTTGGACTTCCCTCCAAGGTAAATGGGTGTGTGGGGGTGGGGTGGGTGTTTGTGTCATCCTGTGTGAGTTTGTGTGTGTGTGTGGGGGGGGGGTTGTGCACATGTGTGATCTCCTTATGAGAAGATTTCTCTTCACTCAAGCAGAAGCGTTAGATTTATTTTTTTAAGTAGAACACGATGCCATGTCATCCAATATTTGGGACATACTTAAACTAAAAGCTTATTTATCTGAACTTCCAAATTTCCCAGGTATTGCATATATCGTTTAGCAAGTGTACTCTCAGAAAGCTGACTGATATCTGCAGTGGACTTACATTCCTAGATGGAGATACAGATGATGAAACCAGTCCAGTAAAATAATTGTGAAAATTCAGTAGTGCATACACAGATTTTCACCTTTGCTGTAACAAATACGTATAGGAACATGTTTAAAATATGCATAATAAGATGTAGAACCGTGTCCCTCTCAGCTGTTGTCTTGAGCTATCTCAGAGAATTCAGTTTCTGCTGTCATCACAGCTGGGAACGAGAAAGGCAGGGGGCTCCGGGTGGTCTCCCTCTGCCTCTGGACCACACGTGCAGGACACGGGGCTGCCGCAAGATCAGCTCTGAAAGCTGAGTCCTCAGGGTCCTTGTGAAGGAGGGATGCTCACCTGCCTTGGAGCCTGGAAAATCCTGCCTGGGACAGAACTCTCATGGTTTAAAAATGAGAAGGGAGAGAATTACCATCACATTAGAAGGCATAGAAAATCATTAAAACAAAAAACTAATAAGAGAAGCAAATGTAAAAGGAACTGTGCTGAGGAGAGGCCAATACTGGCACTAGAATGAAAAGATTCATGGAACGCAGTGGAAAGTCCAGAAACAGAGCCACAGGAATGTAATATTTTATCGTGTCCTAAAATTGTACGTTAATATCCACAAGGAAATACTTGATTATTTAATATGTTTTCCTTTGGAAATTGACTTACCATATGGAAACACATATTCTTGGGTTGCTAACTTAAAAGGTACAAATACAGATTTAGTTGTAATAAAACTGAAACCGGAAATCATTAGACTTAAACGATGATGAATTGCACACTAATTATAGGTGACATTGTTCTCTCTGAGCCTGACATCATAATAGAGATCCTAGAAAAATTGATAGATTTTATTAAAAGTAATATACAAAGTTCAGTTCACCAAAAGGTGCTGAAAATAAATAATAGCAAATGATGAGAAATATTTTCAACATGTTTGATAAAGCATCAATATCTCTAAAATGGTGAATATCAATTCTTACAAACAGATAAGAAAAAAGTAATACCTCAACAGAAGCATAGGCAAAGAGTGTGAATAGGCCGTTCACCAAAGAAGAAGGATAAATGGCCTATAAAGTTGTAAAATAATGCTAGTATTCATAAAGATGAGAAAATGCAAATTAAATGAACAAATCTCATTTTCTGAACCCCAGACCTTGGATTGAAATTGCGATCAAATTAAAGTATATGACTTAAGGAATTTCTCATCTGCTATATCCAATGGTACTTTAACCTGTCAATAAGATTTCTGTGAAGATTCAATAAAATGGAAGATTCACTAAAATGTAATGTGCTTAGTACAGTAACTCATGGGAAGTCAGTACCCAATTTACCATCAGTATTATTACTATACTAATTACTGTATAGAAATTCCAGATCATATCAATATCAAGTAATAAATTTAAAAATACTAACAAAATGATATGAATTTCTTTGTGCATACTTCTGAATTATATTCACCTTTCCAAGTAAGACACAAAATCCAGATGCCAGAAAATAAAACGTTGATTAAAATGTATAGAAACCAATTATCAGAGCAAAAATAATAAATATGACATTCAAATAGAAACAATGCATGCTGCACAGATGACAAACAAAGATGTATTTCTGAAATAGAGATAGACTTCTGAATAAAAAAGAAAAAGTGAAAAAGTTCACCTGAACTGAAAAAGATATTGTTACCTATAGGGTGAGAGAGAGAAGAGAAAAGAGAATTCTAGAATGGAGGCAAAAATCTCTAAATCTATCTCGTTTTATAATTTTTGGTTTCAGTTCCATGTAAATGTTCTACATATGCAAATCAATAGAACACAACAAATTTGCAAAATATAAAAATGAAAACTGAACAAATAAACCAGATGTATCAATGTTGCCTGAACATACAGAGGATTATTCCAGATGATTTTATTGGAAAAGTATTCTGACTGTGTGCTCAAAAAAGAGAGAGAAAAGGAAAGAAGGAGGGAAGGAAGGAAGGAAAGAAGGAAGGAGGGAGACAGTTAGGGAGGGAAGGGCAGGGAAAGGGAGGTGTACAAAAACAGCAAGTAACCAAGAAAGTAGAGAGAGGAAAAAGAGGAGGGCAGAGGGGGAGAAGGTTCAACTGCACATCTAGGCCTAGTGATTTAGTGGTAATTATAGTATTGCTTGTATTGTTATAGTCATAAGAGGTGAGCACCACTCTCGGCTGTGATCTCTGAACCATGATTGAATACATGATTCAGTATAAACACCCTTTTCATTTGCTGTCCAAAATATCTTGTTTCGCAGCTGGAACCTAGGTATATCAGTTTATCCTAGGAAGCAGAGTGAGTGGGCCTGCCCTGTGTCCCAGGAGAGCTGAGAGAACCTTGCTGTCAGGCAGGCTGTTTAGCTGAGGCCTGGAGGTGGCAGCTTGGTCTTCAGGAAAGTCCTGGGGGAGGGGTGGGGAACAGGTGCAGCTGCTGCCAGGGGAGTGTGATATTAGGGGGAGATGAGGAGTAAAACTGTGTTTCTCTTTGTACAGAATACAGTAAATTCGGTGGCAGGAAATGAGAGGGGGCAGCTCTGTCTTGTGTAGCAGAAGCAGCCACAAGGCAGATTTCAGTGTGGTGTAGGGCAGGTCTGAACCACTGTGCCTGTCCCAGGCGGCACAATAATACACCCCAGAATCATTTTCAATTAGATTTTGCAGTACCAATTTCCAGCTCCCCTTCTGGATTAGATAATTATCCTTCTTTCCTAGACTGACTCCTGAATCCAACACAATCTTGGACTGGTAGGTGTCACAGTACAGAAGACGCTGTGGGGCCTTGCCTTCCTGGTGGAAGTACCAGTGGATGTATCTGGCATTTTCTACAGGAAGATCACAAGTGATTACAGCAGATGACCCAGTCCGCCCGGTGACTAGCTTCGTTCTCCCTTCTAAGTTGGAAGATACCTGACTGACTGCAATGAAACAACACAAAATACGATGAGGCATTCCTTAGTATGGCACCACTTACAAAAGAAGAAAACAAAACCTCTCTGTAGGCAGCACACACACCAGGAGGCAGGAAAGCTAGAAGCAGAGCTAGGGCCCACCCCATGCCTTCCTCTCTGGGGCCTTGGAAGGAAAGGGACCAGATGAAGAGGAGCACAAGACCCTCTGAAAACTCAGGTCCCACTCAACAAGAAAGTGATCCCTAGCACAGAAGGCAGTGGGGGCAGCTGGTCTTCCTGAGTCACAGGCAGAAAGAAACTACTGATGATCTGTCTTAGGGGACTCCCAAGCCTTCCTCCCAGAAGGGGTGCTGCCTGGGAGGACCTGCAGAGGAGCTCCTGCCTCTCTGCTCAGGCCCGTTCTCCAGCGCCCTCCTGTGGCAGCTGAGAGTAGGTTCTCTGCAGAAGAGAGCCAGGGGCAAGGAGAGCTCAGGCCTGCAACAGAGGGAGTGCAGACCTGGGGGAAGCTGAACCTGGAGTTAACAGGCCCAGCCTTTGCAGGGGGCGGTGCACAGCAGGCTCACACCCTGCCCTTCAGAGTTTCATCAGGTAAGGCCACTGCCAGGGCCTCATTCTGCCAGGAATATTCTGATTAGGGCCCTGAACCGCCTTCCTTTTCACATCTGCAGGGACACTGGAGGCAACACCCAGGGCCACTCTGAGAAGGCCTGAACCTGCTTTATTGACAGGACTGAGGGTCAGGTATGTTGGTGGGTCTTGGACTTCCCTCTAAGTTGAATGAGCATGTGGAGGTGGGGTGTGTATTTGTGTCATCCTGTGTGAGTTTGTTTGTGTGTGGGGGGGGTGCAAATGTGTGTGATCTTATTAGAGGATGTCTGTTCATTCAAGTAGTAGTGTGGCAATTTTTTTTTAATTAGCACACAGTGCCATGTCATGCAATATTTGGGACATACTTAAACTAAAAACTCGTTTATCTGAACTTCCAAATTTCCTGGGTATTGCATATTTATTAAGCAACAGTACTCTCAGAAAGCAGACTGATATCTGCAGTGGGCCTGGATTCACAGATGGTGATACAGATGATAAAACAAGTCCAGTAAAATAATTGAGAATTCAGTAGTGCGTACACAGATTTTCACCTGCTCTATAACAAATATGCTTAGACACATGTTTAAAATATGCAGAATAAGATGTAGAACTGTGTCCCTCTCAGTTGTTGTGTTGGCCTAGCTCAGGGAATTCCATTTCTGCTGTCATCGCCGCAGGGAATGAGAAACACTGGGGGCTCCGGGTGGTCTCCCTCTGCCTCTGGACCACACGTGCAGGACATGAGGCTGCTGCAGGAGCAGCTCTGAAAGCTGAGTAGTCAGGGTCCTTGAGAATGGGGAAGCTCACCTGCCTTGGAGCCTGGAAAATCCTTCCTGGCACAGAACTCTGATGATTTAAAAATGAGAAGGGAGAGAATTGCCGTCACATTAGAAGGCATAGAAAATCCTTAAAAAAGTAATAAGAGGAACAAACTCCACTGCATTGTAAAATAAACTATAAATCTACCATGCTGAAGAGAGGCACTCGAATAAAAAGATTCATGGAACACAAAGGTAAGTCCAGAAAGAGAGCCACAGGTATGTAATATTTTGTCATGTCATAAAGTTGCATGTTAATATCCGCAAGTAAATACTTGATTATTATGTTCTCTTTTGGGAATTGACTTATCATATGAAAACAAATATTCCTGGGTTGATAACTTAAAAGGTACTAGGGATTTTGTTGTAATAAAACTGAAAACAGGAATTCATTAGACTTAAAACGGTGATGAATTGCAGACTAATTGTAGGTGACATTGGTCTCTCTGAGTCTGACATCATAATAGAGACCCTAGAAAAATTGATAGATTTTATTGACATATACAAAGTTTACCAAAAGGTGCTGAAATAAATAATAGCAAATGGTGAGAAATATTTTCAACACATTTGATAAAGGATCACTATCTCTAAAATAGCGTATATTAATTCTTACCACCAAATAAGAAAAAATTAATACCTTAACAGAATAGGCAAAGGGTATAAAAGGCAATTGACAAAAGAAGTATAAGTGGCCCGCAATGTTGTAAACTAGTGCCGGTACTTGTGAAGATTAGAAAATGCAAATAGAATGAACAAATCTTATTTTCTGAACCCCAAAGCATGGATTGAAAATGCTGTCAAATTAAGGTATATGACTTAGGGAATGTTAGTTAACCCCTCAATTTATCATCTGCTGTATTCAAGAGGACTTTAACAGGTCAATAAGGTTTCTGTGAAGAGTCAATAAAATATACATGCAATGTGCTTAGTAGAGAAACTTCCAGAAAGTCAGTATCCATATTTACCATCAGCATTATTATTATTACTACAGTAATTATTGTATAAAAATTCCAGATATATCATGATATAAAATGTCAACAAAATTATGTAAATTTCTTTATCTATACTTCTGAAGTATGTTCACCTTTACAAGCAAGACACAAAATGCAGACACCAAAAAATGAAAGATAATTAAAATGTATAAAAACCAACTATCAGAGCAAAAAAAATAGGGCAGTCAGATAAAAACAATGCAAACTGCACAGATGACAAACGAAAGATGCACTCCTGAAACGGTGATAGACTTCTCAATAAATAAGAAAAAGTGAAAAAGTTCACCTGAACTGAAAAAGTTACTGTTACCTATAGGGTGGGAGAGAGAAGAGAAAAGAGAATTCTAGAATGGAAGCAAAAATCGCCAAATCTATCTCGTTTTATAGTTTTGACTTCAGTTCCATGTAAATGTGTTACATATGCAAATCAAAACTACACAACAAATTTCCAAAATATAAAAATGAAAAATTGAACAAATAAAGAAGGTATATCAATGTTGCCGTGAACATATAGAGAATTATTCCAGATGGTTTTGTTGAAAAAGTATTCTGATTGTGTGCCCAAAAATACAGAAAAGGAAGGAAAGAAAAGGAAAGAGAAGGAACGAAGTAAGGAAGGGATGGAGGGAGGGAAGGAAGGAAGGAAGGAAGGAGGAAGGAAGGAAGGAATGGGTGGGCAGGGGAAGGGAGGTGTAGAAAAATAGCAAGTAACCAAGAAAGTAGGAGAGAACAAAAAGGAGGGCAGAGGGAGAGAAGGTTCATCTGCATGTCTAGGCCGAGTGATTGAGTGGGAATTATAGTATTGCTTACATTGTTATAGATGTAAGAGATGGGTATCCAACCTGGACTATGATTGGATATATGATTCAGGATAAATACCCTTTTTATTTGCTGTCTAAAGTATCTCCCTTCACAGGTAGACCCTAGGTGGACATGTGTGTCCTAGGAAGCAGAGTGAGTGGACATTCCCTGTGTCCCAGGAGAGCTGAGAGAACCTTTCTCTCAGGCAGGCTGCTTAGCTGAGGCCTGGAGATGGCAGCTTGGTCTTCAGGAAAGTCCTGGGGGAGGGGTGGGGAACAGGTGCAGATGTGCCAGGGGAGTGTCATATTAGGGGGAGATCAGGGGTGAAGCTGTGTTTTACTTTGTACAGAATGCAGTAAATTCGGTGGCAGGAAATGAGAGGGGGCAGCTCTGTCTTGTGCAGCAGGAGCAGCCACATGGCAGGTTTTCAGTGTGGTGTAGGGCAGGTCTGAACCACTGTGCCTGTCCCAGGTGGCACAATAATAGACCCCAGAATCATTTTCAATTAGATTTTGCAGTTTCAATTTCCACTTCCTCCTAGTGATTGGAAAACTATTATACTTCCCTGAACTGGGGTTGGAGCGGTCATGGTACAGAAGACACTGTAGGGCCTTCCCCTCCTGGTGGAGGTACCAGTGGATGTATAAGGTATTTTCTCCAGGAAGATCACAAATGATTACAGCAGATGACCCAGTTGTCCCAGTGACTGACTTCATTCTCCCTTCCAAGTTGGAAGATATCTGACTGGCTGCAATGAGAACAACACAAAACATAATGGGCATTCCATAGCATGGCACCCCTTGCAAAAAACAAACAAACAAACAAAACCCATGAGCCTCTCTGTAGGCAGCACACTCACCAGGAGGCAGGAAAGCTAGAAGCAGGGCTAGGGCCCACCCCATGCCTTCCTCTCTCGGGCCTCGGAAGAAAAGGGACCAGATGAAGAGGAGCACAACACCCTCTCAAAACTCAGGTCCCACTCAACAAGGAAGTGATCCCTAGCACAGTGCGGGGAGCAGGTCTTCCTGAGTCACAGGCAGAGGGAAGTGACTGAGGATCTGTCTTAGGGACTCCCAAGCCTTCCTCCCAGAAGGGGTGGTGCCTGGGAGGATCTGCAGAGGAGCTCCTGCCTCTCTGCTCAGGCCCGTTCTCCAGCGCCCTCCGGTGGCAGCTGAGAGAGTGACAGGGACATGGAGAGCTCAGGCCTGCAGCAGAGGGAGTGCAGATGTGGGGGAAGCTGACTCTGGAGTTAACAGGCCCAGCCCTGGGGGATCGTTGCGGGGCAGTGCACAGCAGGCTCACACCCTGCAATGCAGAGTTTCAGCAGGTAAGGCCATTGCCAGGGCCTCATTCTGCCAGGCCCATATTAGGGCCCTAAATTGCCATCTTTTTCACATCTGAAAGGACATTGGAGGCAGCACCCAGAGGCACTCGGGGCAAGCCTGAACCTTCTGTATTCACAGGACTGAAAATCAGGTATGTTGGGGGCCTTGGACTTCCCTCTAAGGTAAATGGTTGTGTGGAATGAGCAGATGTTTCTGTCATCCTGTATGAGTTTGTGTTGGGGGGGTACACATGTGAGTCATCTCTTTATTAGAGGATTTCTCTTCAATCAGGTAGAAGTGTGAGGTTTGTTTGTTTGTTTTTAGCAGTACAGGGTGCCAGGCCATGCAATATTTGGGACATACTCAAACTAAAACTTATTTATCTGAACTTACAAATTTCCTGGGTATTGGATATTTTATTTAGCAACCAAACCCTCACAAAGCTGACTGATATCTGCAGTGGACCTGGATTCCTAGATGGAGATACGGATGATAAAACAAGTCCAGTAAAATAATTGTGAGAATTCAGTTGTGTACACACAGATTTTCACCTCCTCTGTAACAAATATGCTTAGACACATATTTAAAATATACAGAATAAGATGTAGAACAATGTCCCTCTCGGTTGTTGTGTTGGCCTAGCTCAGAGAATTGTTTCTGCTGTCATCACAGCTGGGAACGTGAAAGGCAAGGGGCTCCAGGTGGTCTCCCTCTGCCTCTGGACCACGCGTGCAGGACACGAGGCTGCCACAGGATCAGCTCTGAAAGCTGAGTCCTCAGAGTCCTTGTGAAGGAGGGAAGCTCACCTGCCTGGGAACCTGGAAAATCCTGCCTGAACCTCTCATGGTTTATAAATGAGAAGGGAGAGAATTGCTATCACATTAGAAGGCATAGAAAATCCTTAAAACAAATAAGTAATAAGAGAAGCAAACTCCACTGGAATGTAAAATGAATTATAAAGTTACCATGCTGAAGAGAGGCAAATACTGGCCCTAGGATGAAAAGATTCATGAACACAGTGGAAAGTACAGAAAGAGAACCACAGGTATGTAATATTTTATCATGTTATAAAGTTGTATGTTAATATCCACAAAGAAATACTTGATTATTTAATATGATTTCCTTTGGGAATTGACTTACCATATGGAAACACATATTCTTGGGTTGCTAACTTAAAAGGTACAAATACAGATTTAGTTGTAATAAAACTGAAACCGGAAATCATTAGACTTAAACGATGATGAATTGCACACTAATTATAGGTGACATTGTTCTCTCTGAGCCTGACATCATAATAGAGATCCTAGAAAAATTGATAGATTTTATTAAAAGTAATATACAAAGTTCAGTTTACCAATGGTGCAAAAAATAATACCAAATGATGAGAAATATTTTCAACTAGTTTGATCAAGTACCACTATCTCTAAAATGGTTTATATTAATTCTTACAAACAAATGAAAAAATCCTCCAAAACAAGAATAGGCACAGAATATGACTAGACAATTCTCAAAAGAAGAACTATAAATGGCCTATAAAGCTGTAAAATAATGCTAGAACTCCAAAGAGGAGGGAATGCAAATTGAATCAATAAGTCTCATTTTTGGAACCACAGAGCTTGGATTGCAATCACTGCCAAATTAAAGTATATGACTTAGGGGATGTCACTTAACCCTGTAATTTCTTCTGTGTTATATTCAATGGTACTTTAAACCCTTTATGATGTTTCTGTGTAGGTTAAATAAAGTCTGCATGTAATGTGCTTAGCACATTAACTACCAGAATATCAGTGCCCATATTTACCAGCAATGTTATTATTATTAATTTTTTTTTTTTTTAGATATAGTCTTGCTCTGTTGCCCAAACTGGAGTGCAATAGTGTGATCTTAGCTCACTGACACCTCCACCTTCCAGGCTCAAGAGATTCTCCTGCCTCAGCATCCAAAGTGTATGGGATTACATGTGTGCGCCACTACAGCCAGCTAATTTTTTGTATTTTTAGTAGAGACAGGCTTTCACCACTTTGGCTAAGCTGGTCTCAATCTCCTGGCATCAAGTGATCCTAATGACTCAACTACCCCAATGCTGGGATTCCAGGCATGAGCCACCGGGCCTGGCCAGTATTAATATTATTAATATAGTAATTCTTGTATAAAAATCCTGATAGATCGATGATGCCATCATTCAATAATCAATGCATAAAAACATTCAAATAAATGATAAGGACTTCTTTATGCAAACTTATGAAGTATGTGCACCTTTAGAAGTAAGACACAAAATCCAGACACAGGAAAATAAAAGATTGTTTAAAATGTATAAAAACCGAATACAAGAATGAAAATATAAATATGGCATTGAAAAAGAAACAATACATACGGCACTATGACAAAGTGGAAAAGTTCAAGTGAACTGATGAAAGTATTTTTACCTATAGGGTCAGGGAGAAAAGAGGAATGAGAAATCTAGAATGGAAGCTAAGAGCCTCAATTGCATCTTTTAAAATTTTGACTTCAGTTCCAGGTAAGTGGTTTATGTACACAAAACAAATATGAAACAGAACATAATAAAAAAATTCAAAATATAGAAATAAAAACCAAACAAACTAGCTATATCAATGTTGGAATGAACAAATAGAGTAAATAATTTCAAATGATTTTGTAGAAGAACTATTCTAATTATGTAGCCAAAATGGAAAGAGAAAAGCAAGGAAGGAAGAAAAAAAAGAAGGAAAATGGATGGAAGGAAAGGAGGAAGGAAGAAAAGAAGGAAGGAAGGAAGGGAGGGAGGGGTAGAAAAATAATAAAGCAAGTAAGAAAGGAGAGAAAAAAGGGAAGGCAGAGGGAGAGAATGTGCAACTGCACATCTACGCCTAGTGATTGAGTGGGAATTGCGTATACTGTTATAAGGAATAAGCATCACTCTCAGATGCGATCTCCGGACCAAGATTGGATACATGATTCAGTATAAATACCCTTCCCATTTGCTGTCCAAAATATCTCGCCTCACAGCTGGACTCTAGGTGTAGCTACTGTCCTAGAAATCAGAAAGAGTGGGCCTCCCCCATAGAGCAGAGAGAACATTCTCCCTGGACAGGCTGCTTAGCTGAGGCGTGGAGAGGGCAGCTTGGTCTTCAGGAAGTCCTGGGGTGGGGTGGGGAACAGGTGCAGCTGCTGCCAGGGGAGTGTGATATTAGGCAGAGATAAGGGGTGAAGCTGTGTTTTACTTTGTACGGAATACAGTAAATTCAGTGGCAGGAAATGAGAGGGGCAGCTCTGTCTTGTGCAGCAGGAGCAGCCACAAGGCAGATTTCAGTGTGGTGTAGGTAGGTCTGAACCACTGTGTCTGTCCCAGGTGCCACAGTAATAGACCCCAGAAACATTTTCAATTAGATTTTGCAGTCTCGATTTCCAGCTTCTTCTCCTGCTTGTGTAAGTATCATACATTCCTAGACTGATTCCTGATTCCAACACAATATTGGAGTTGGAGAGGTCACAGTACAGAAGACGCTGTGGGGCCTTCCCCTCCTGGTGGAGGTACCAGTGGATGTAGAAGGTATTTTCTCCAGGAAGATCACAGGTGATTACAGCAGATGACGCAGTTGGCCCAGTGACTGTCTTCATTCTCCCAAGTTGGAAGATTTCTGACTGGCTGCAATGGGAACAACACAAAATATAATGAGGAATTACTTACTACGGCACCCTTGCACAAGAAGAAAATGAAACAAAATAAAATAAAACCCGTGAGCCTCTCCTTAGGCAGCACACTCACCAGGAGGCAGGAAAGCTAGAAGCAGGGCTAGGGCCCACCCATGCCTTCCTCTCTGGGGCCTTGGAAGGAAAGGGACCAGATGAAGAGGAGCACAAGATCCTCTCAAAACTCAGATCTAACTCAAAAAGGAAGTGATCCCTAGCACAGAAGGCAGTGGGGGAGCTGGCCTTCCTGAGTCACAGAGAAAAGTGACTGATGATCTGTCTTAGGGGACTCCCAAGCCTTCCTCCCAGAAGGGGTGCTGCCTGGGAGGACCTGCGGAGGAGCTCCTGCCTCTCTGCTCAGACCCATTCTCCAGCGCCCTCCTGTGGCAGCTGAGAGCAGGTTCTCTGTGGAAGAGAGCCAGGGGCAAGGAGAGCTCAGGCCTGCAGCAGAGGGAGTGCAGATGTGGGGGAAGCTGAACCTGGAGTTAACAGGCCCAGCCCTTGGAGGGGGCAGTGCACAGCACGCTCACACCCTGCACTTCAATGTTTCAGCAGGTAAGGCCGCTGCCAGGGCCTCATTCTGCTAGGAAGCTTCTGATTAGGGCCCTGAACCGCCTGCCTTTTCACATCTGCAGGGACACTGGATCAACACCCAGGGCCACTCTGAGAAGGCCTGAACCTGCTTTATTGACAGGACTGAGGGTCAGGTATGTTGGTGGGTCTTGGACTTCCCTCCAAGGTAAATGGCTGTGTGTGTGTGTGTATGTTTCTCTGTGTGTGTGCACACGTTCCTCTGTGTGTGATCTCTTTATTAGAGGATTTCAGTTCATTGAAGTACAAGTGTGAGTTGTTTTTTTTTTTTAAGTAGTGCCGGGTGCTATGTCATGCAGTAGTTGAGATATACCAAACTAAAAACTTATTTATCTGAACTTCCAAATTTCCTGGATATTGCATATTTTATTTAGCAACTGTACCCTCAAAAAGCAGACTGATATCTGCAGTGAACCTGGATTCACAGATGGAGATACAGGTGATAAAACAAGTATGTTAAAATAATTGTGAAAATTCAGTAGTGCGTACACAGATTTTCACCTCTTCTATAACAAGTATGTTTAGACACGTTTAAAATATGCATAATAAGATGGAGAACATGTCCCTCTTGGGTGTTGTGTTGGCCAAGCTCAGAGAATTCCGTTTCTGCTGTCATCAGAGCTGGGAATGAGAAACACTGGGGGCTCCGGGTGGTCTCCCTCTGCCTCTGGACCACACGTGCAGGACACGAGGCTGCCGCAGGAGCAGCTCTGAAAGCTGAGTCCTCAGGGTCCTTGTGAAGGAGGGACGCTCACCTGCCTTGGAGCCTGGAAAATCCTGCATGGGACAGAACTCTCGTGGTTTAAATCTGTGAACGGAGAGAATTGCCATCACATTAGAAGGCATAGAAAATCATTAAAACAAAAAACTAATAAGAGAAGCAAATGTAAAAGGAACTGTGCTGAGGAGAGGCCAATACTGGCATGAGAATGAAAATATTCATGGAATGCAGTGGTAAGTCCAGAAACAGAGCCACGAGTATGTATAATTTTATCATGTCATAAAGTTGTATGTTAATATCCACGAAGAAATACTTGATTAATATTTTCTTCTTTGGGAATTGACTTGCCATATGGAAACACATATTCTTGGCTTGCTAAATTAAACAGCACAAATAGAAATTTAGTTGTAATAAAACTGAAAACAGGAAATCATTAGACTTAAATGATGATGAATTGCATACTAATTATAGGTGACATTGTTCTCTCTGAGCCTGACATCATAATAGAGACCTTAGAAAAATTGATAGATTTTATTAAAAGTAATATACAAAGTTCAGTTCACCAAAAGGTGCCCAAAATAAATAATAGCAAATGAAGAGAAAAATTTTCAACACGTTTGATAGAAGAGCACTGTCTCTAAAATGGTGTATATCAATTCTCACAAATAAGAAAAATTAATACCTCAATGGAAGAAGAGGCAAAGAGTATGAAAAGGCAGTTCACAAAAGATGTATAAACAGCCTATAAAGTTGTAAAATAATGCTAGTATTCATAAAGATAAGAAAATGCAAATGGAACAAATCTCACTTTCTGAACTCCAGAGCTTGGATTGAAATTGTGATCAAATTAAAATATACGACTTAGGGAACGTTACATAAACCCTCAGTTTCTCATCTGCTATATTCAATGGTGCTTTAAGCTGTCAATAAGGTATCTGTGAGGATTCAATAACATACGCATGTAATATACTGACTTACTGGTACAGTAACTACCACAAAGTCAGTACCCAATTTACCATCAGTATTTTTATTATTACTACGGTAATTATTGTATAAAAATTCCAGATATATCAATATCAAGTAATGAATCAAATATTAATGAAATGGTATGAATATCTTTGTGCATACTCCGAAGTATGTTCACCTTTCCAAGTAAGACACAAAATCCAGATGCCAGAAAATAAAAGATTGATTAAAATGTATAAAAACCGATTATCACAGCAAAAAATAAATATGACATTCCAATAGAAACAGTGCATACTGCACATATGACAAACAAAATACGTATTTCTGAAATAGTGATAGATGTCTGAGTGAATAAGAAAAAGTGAAAAAGCTCAACTGAACCGAAAAAGATATTGTTGCCTATAGGATGAGAGAGAGAAGAGGAAAGAGAATTCTAGAATGGAAGTTAAAATCTCTGAATCTATCTTGTTTTATAATTTTTGGCGTCAGTTCCATGTAAAGGCTTCACAGACACAAATCGAATCTACACAACAAACTTCCAGAATATAAAACTAAAGATGGAACAAATAAACCAGGTGTATCAATGTCGATGATTTTGGTGAAAAGTATTATGATTGTGTGCCCAAAAAAGAAAGAGGCAGGCAGGCAGGCAGGAAGGAAGGAAGGAAGGAAGGAAGGAAGGAAGGAAGGAAGGAAGGAAGGAAGGTAGGTCAGAACAAGGGAGGTAGGGAACGAGGGAGGGAAGTGGGGAGCAAGCTGGAGACTGAGCTAGGGAGGGAAGGAGGGAGGGAGGGAGGAGAGGTCAGGGGAAGAGAAGCATAGAAAAATAGCAAGTAACCAAGAAAGCAGAGAAAGAATAAGGAGGGCAGTGGGAGAGAAGGTTCAACTGCACATCTAGGCCGAGTAATTTAGTGGTAATTATATTACTCCTTATATTGCTATAGACATAGGAGATGAACACCACTCAAAGCTGCAATCTCTAGACAATGACTGGATACATGATCCAGTATAAATATCCTTCCCATTTTCTGTCCAAAATCTCTCTCTTGACAGCTGGACACTAGGGAGCTGACTGAGTGGGCCTCACCCATGTCCTAGGAGAGCTGAGAGAACCTTGCTCTCAGGCAGGCTGCTTAGCTGAGGCCTGGAGATGGCAGCTTGGTCTTCAGGAAAGTCCTCGGGGAGAGGTGGGGAACAGGTGCAGCTGCTGCCAGGGAGTGTGATATTAGGGGGAAGTCAGGAGTAAAACTGTGCTTCTCTTTGTACAGACTACAGTAAATTCAGTGGCAGGAAATGAGAGGGGACAGCTCTATCTTCTGTACTACAAGCTGCCACAAGGCAGATTTCAGTGTGGTGTAGGCAGGTCTGAACCACTGTGCCTGTCCCAGGTGGCAAAATAATAGACCCCAGAATCATTTTCAATTAGATTTTGCACTATCAATTTCGAGCTCCTCCTCATGATTGCATAGCTATCCATCTGCCCTGGACTGATTCCTGAATCCAACATAACCCTGGCGTTGTAGGTGTCACAGTACAGAAGACGCTGTGGGGCCTTCCCCTCCTGGTGGAGGTACCAGTGGATGTATAAGATATTTTCTCCAGGAAGATTACAAGTGATTACAGCAGATGACCCTGTTGTTCCAGTGACTGTCTTCATTCTCCCTTCCAAGTTGGAAGATTTCTGACTGGCTGTAATGGGAACAACACAAAATATAATGAGGCATTCCTTAGTATGGCACCTTGCAAAAGAAGAAAAGAAAAAACCCGTGAGCCTCTCCGTAGGCAGCACACTCACCAGGAGGCAGGAAAGCTAGAAGCAGGGCTAGTGCCCACCCCATGCCTTCCTCTCTGGGGCCTTGGAAGGAAAGGGGCCAGATGAAGAGGAGCAGAACACCCTATCTAAACTCAGGTCCCACTCAATAAGGAAGTGATCCCTAGCACAGAAGGCAGTCAGGGAGCTGGTCTTCCTGAGTTACAGGTAGAGAGAACTGACTAAAGATCTGTCTTAGGGGACTCCCAAGCCTTCCTCCCAGAAGGGGTGGTGCCTGGGAGGGCCTGCAGAGGAGCTCCTGCCTCTCTGCTCAGGCCCATTCTCCAGCACCCTCCTGTGGCAGCTGAGAGCAGGTCCACTGCAGAAGAGAGCCAGGGGCAAGGAGAGCTCAGGCCTGCAGTGGAGGGAGTGCAGACCTGGGGGAAGCTGAGCCTGGAGTTAACAGACCCAGCCCTTGGACAGAGCAGTGCACAGCAGGCTAACACCCAGCACTGTAGCGTTTCCGCAGGTAAAGCCGCTGCCAAGGCTTCATTCTGCCAGAAGCTTCTGATTAGGGCCCGGAACCACCTTCCTTTTCGAATCTGCAGGAAACAGGAGGCAGCACCCAAGGCTACTCTGCTTTATTAACAGGACTGAGGGTGAGGTATGTTGGTGGGTCTTGGACTCTCCTCTAAATTAAATGGGTGTGCGGAGCGGGGGGTGAAGGTGGGCCGTGCATGGGGTTCTGTGGGTGTGGTCTCTTTATTAGAGGATTTTTATACATTGAAGTACGAATGTGAGTTTTTTGGTTTTTTAAAGCAGTACAGGATGACGTGTCATGCAATATTTGGAACATACTTAAACTAAAAACTTGGTATTTATCTGAACTTCCACATTTCCGGGGTACTCGATACTTTATTTGGCAGCCCTACCCTCAGAGCTCAGACTGCTATCTGCAGGGCACCTGGTTTCTCAGATGGAGATCTAGGCAACAAAACGAGTCCAGTAAAACAGTCGTGAAAATCCAGTAGTGCACACAGATTTTCACCTCCTCTGTAACAAATATGTTTAGACACACGTTTAAAATACGCAGAATAAGATGCAGAAGTGTGTCCCTCTCGGTTGTTGTGTTGGCCTAGCTCAGAGAATTCAGTTTCTGCTGTCATCCCAGCTGGGAAAGAGAAAGGCACGCGGCTCCAGGTGGTGTCCATCTGCCTCTGGGCCACACGTGCAGGACATTAGGCTGCCGCAGGAGCAGCTCAATGCTGAGTTCTCAGAGACCTTGTAGAGGAGGAAAGCTTGCCTGCCTTGGAGCCTGACAAAACCTTTCTGGACAGAGGTGTCACGGTTTATAAATGAGAAGGGAGAGAACTGAGATCACACTAGAATGCACAGAAAATTCTTAAAACAAAAATATGATGAGAGAAACTTTATCAGAATGTGAAAAGAACTCTAAAGCTACAGTGCTGAAGAGGGGGCAGTACTGGAACTACAGTGAAAAGGTTCATAGAACACAGTGGAAAATGCAGGAAGAGAGCCATGTGTATGTAATATTTTACCACGTGATAAAATGGTACGTTAATATCTACAAGGAAATTGTCAATTATTTAATAAGTCCTCTTTTGGGTATTGACTTACCATGCGGAAACTAACATTCTTGAATTTCTACCTTACCAGTTACAGTGATGCAGTTGTAATTAAAAAAATCATTAGACTTAAAGAATGATGAACTGCACAAAATTCTAGGTGAGATTGGCCTCTCTAAGCCTGACATCAAACTAGAGACCCTAGAAAAATTGATAGTTTTTATTGTTTCAAAGTTCAAATCAACGAAAGGTTGATAAATAAATATAAATAATAAATTAGGAGATATAAATATAAATAATAAATGAGGAAAAATATTTTCAACACATTTGATAAAGGGTCAGTATTTCTAAAATGGTGTATAGTAATTCTTATGAACAAGTAAGAAAATATTATTTCCTAAAAGAATATTTCCTAAAGATTATTTCCTAAAAGAAGAATAGGCAGCGCATGACAAGACAATTCACAGAAGATGAACTCTAAATGACCTATTGGGTGTATTATGATGCTAGGACTCCTAACGATGAGGGAATGCTAACTGAATTAACAAATCTCATTTTTGGAACCACAGAGCTTGGATTGCAATTGTTATCAAATTAAATATATGTCTTAGGGAACATCAGTTAACCCCTCAATTTCTTCTGTGTTACAGTCAACGGTATTTTCATCCCTGAATGAAGTTTCTGTGTAGATTAAATAAAATATGCATATCATGTGCTTAGTACATTAACTA